ACACACATAAAAACCTGCAAACTTACTACTTGTCTATGCACACAAAGCCTTAATTGTTTTATCAACGATATCACCAGCAATTTTGAATTCTTTGTTATCCTAACATCATTTTTATCTAATTGTTCCTTATCCATACGATTATCAGTGAAATTATAGGCGGACCTTTCTGTTATACCCTGAATACAGGCATTTTTTATAGAGGCTTGATCTTTGTATAATTTAACTGTTTGAAAAAATACACACGTACGTCATGCATTAATTTTTAAATACAAACACAATTAATTAATATGTTAAGAATTTGTTACTATGAATTCAGCAAACAAAATTATTTCAAAACCTTTCTAAGTGTGTTCTAAGTTCTAGTACTGTGTACAATTCAATTATAATAAAAATCTGATAAAAAATACGTGGGCACACGCTTCGTTACCATCTTGGAATGATTCGAGGGAGATGGCTGCAGCCAGCAGTGCCAGAGTTTCTTGCGTTAACACACACACACACCAACACGCACGCGCACACATACTTTCCCAAGTACATAAACAGTCCCTCGCAATAAGTACCATCTTACTTACTATAATCATATAATTTTAAATCATTTTAAGTAAAATCAATTGTACTAGATATCTGTGTTGTAATATAGTAAAGTGGGACCTCTGGCACAAGTATATTATTTACTTAAAGGAGTTTCGAAACCTGAATTGTGAAGTAAATAAACATTTTTTATTTATTAATTTTATTGAGACAGTTTATGTATATTTGTTTATTTAAATAATCTGCTACCACCACGAGTTTATTTTTTCCGACTTCGTTTATTCTCAGTACGGTTCGATGTTTTTCATTAGTGCGCTGACTGTTTTCAGTATGAATTTGTAACAAAGAATCCGAATAACTACTACAAAAATAATTATAACACAGTCTGAACATTCGTTTTAACGAAATTACATTTTTAGATAAAATATTACATTATACCTAAGTAAATTAATCCAAACCTACAACCTCTGGGCCGGGGCAAACCTGGTTATAAAAAACGAAAGGTTTGGGAGAAACGAAATTCTGTAAATCGTGTTTCTAGCTTGTGATAGGTAACCAGTTATATATAGACATAACGTAAGATAAAGACCGTCAGGTCTAGTATTATTAACCAGAACAAAACCCCTGCAGCGGGGTGCTCCAAAAGCTGGCAGCATTCCCCCTACGAGTCACAACAGATCTCAAACACAGGATATCATTTTGTAAATACAAACAAAATATTTCCTTACGTATTTCTAGTTCAAATTCCATACTTGCGTGTAAATAAAGCAAAAAAAAGTTTTACGTCCATCCCCTGCACATTGCGTTGCAGCAGTGCACAATAAACATTTTACTTTCTACGAGATAATAACTACTTGCTATCTTTCTAATCTAGAAGAAATTCTAATTAAGCGAAGTGTGTCTGTTCACGTCTCGACTATCTACATATGTTGACGATGCAATGTGCGTTAACAAACATACATACACACAACAAAAATAATGATAACAATGTTCACATGAACCTCTGTACCAAAATGTTTTGTTTGAAAAAAATATTTTTCAATTGCCTTTAGAAATCGCTTAAGGCGAGGTATTTCAACGCGAGCCTAGATTTTAGGAGATGAGAAATTTGACAGAGATCCGAAGTCGACAAAAGCCCGATGGCGACTGAAGGGGCAGCAGGCGACGTGGCGTGACGTTAAGCCACTGGACAATTTGAAAATTTTTCAATAAGTGTGAATTTAATAACTATAGTACTTCGGTTGAAAAACGAAATTTGGCAGGTTCTCTGTGGTACTTAAAGAGAAACATCTACATATAAAAATTCGTTATAGACTTTTTTAGCCGTTAGCCTATTTCCAAGATTTTGTATGATCGGATCAACAAGTATATAACCAGATATAGAGACGAAATAAGGGCTTTCCATCCTTGGCAACTCATCAGGTAAATTTAAATAGCAACTCTCGTTTGCGCTGAAGTCACAAATTAGAAAGCTGAAAAAGTACAGCGCCTACAACTGACCTGTGTGTATGTCTCCGTATATTCCAAAAATATTCTATATTTATTGTATTAACGATAATATCTCTAACAATGAGGCGCTGTTCCATTCGGTGGTGTGGGAAAAACAGCAAAACATCGAATTGCAAAACAATCGGAATCACATTTCATCGGTTAATTAAATTTTAAACATGTAATTTTTCAATTTTCGTCCATTATAGCAACGCTCAAGTTAAACTGGTCGATTTGAAGTGAAACAATTGACAACACCCGTCAATTGTTCTGAATTCAGGCTGGCCAATCGGAGCGCAGTTGTCACCATAATGATATGGTAGAATAGTTTTCAAACAAATTAAATGACATTTCGTCTCTATTTCCGGTTATACTCGATGAATCAACTAACATACACCGTGTAAGAAATTAGTACATTGTTTAGACAATATTCTAAGGTACTATTGCTATTTTTTTGTAAGACTATTATTTAATAGTAAATACCTAAACCATTTGATCTAGCAATACAGTTTTCCTATTCCTCCTCCGCTGACGCCAATATTTTGTTGTTCGTATGAACGTTATTATCATAAATCAACCCTTTTATGCGTTCCTCTGAATAATATTTATTATTATTTATTTATACATTTTAGGTAAATTCACATACAAATCATATAATTGTAGTATACTGAAATATGAATAATCCAATGCCATTTACGAATTTCCACCAATATAAAAGAATATAAAGTGCTTAGTAAGCCAAATAGAGATTTTAAGAAAAAATAAATGTTACGTGAAAGATGTAGATAACTAAGTATGAAGTTATATCGAGTTCTTAGGTTTTCGCGATTGTTACACATAGGAAATGAAACTATTTTTTTCGGATCTAAATGGTTTGTTTGAAAAAACAAATATACACGGTTTAGATCCAAAAAAATAATTTCATTTCCTATATGAAAAGGCATAGAAAAACTTACCGGGAAAACGTGTGTGTTGAAATAGGATTAAATGCTGAATGGACTAGAATATTTATGAGTTTTGTTATCTTATAATTTCAGCGACACCAGTCCAAGTGATGCTAAAGCCATATTGTCTGTATGCTGTATTATAGCGACTGGCGTCAGCGCGGGAGAGTCGCCTAACCACAATAAATTTTAATTTACTAAGATTCGTAATACTGTGATATAAACACGAAAACACTGCCTGTGCTTGCTTTATTTATTTCAATCTTGATAATTATTTCTACCGATAGAGGATAAAGGATATTCATTTGAGATTAAAAGAATATGAACAGGTTCTGATATATTGTCCTTGGCAGTGACAGAGCAAATATTGTCATCGACCCATTTATGCCTCCCACTACTGGGCACATGTCTCCTCTCTGTCGAGGGCTAAGCCAAATATAAACACAACTCGCAGAAGCACACTTCCGCAACTTCTCTTTTACCTAACTGCACAAACAAATTTATTTAGTTTTATTTTTTTAGATTTGTTGTTTCCTTTTCTAAAATTGTATCGTAATTTATTTGAAAAAAAAAAATAAATATACGCGATTTTTCAATCCGGAAAAATAGTTTCATTTCCTAAGTAACTTAATTGTCATTCACGTCCTCTGTTTGAGAGGCGGTTGGTCACCACCACTAGGCTACCACGTCTTCGACAAAGCAAATAATAAAATTAAGCAAATAAAACAATTGCCTAACGATAATAAAATAACTAGCTCCATAGCCGAACCCGGGTTCGATTCCCGTGCCGGGATAAGTTTTTGTATGGCCTACATTTATTTCTCTCGAGAGTTTGGGTGTAATTTGTGGTTGTCTATGTATGTGTCCTTGATACCTGCGATACTGGATTTCCCTGGAGCGTGGATATGAGAGTTTAAAAAAAATCTGTTAGGGAGCCGCAGTTTTCTAGGTCATTTCATGTCATCATGTTGAGTGCAAATAGCCATGGGCGGTATGGTTAGGTGCAAATTATATAAAAAAGATACCTGATCCAATATACCTGTTGACCATTATGCTTAACTCGCTTGACTTTAACGAATTGCTCGATACTGTACGACGAATAAGCGCCCTAAACAAATCTGGGCCGCCTATTCATCGTGAAGAAACTGCGCCCCAGATAAATCTGGAGCGACTATTCATCAAGCAGTTTTAAATTAGGCCTCGTCACAGTAAGTAGGTTTCTAGGCAAGATCTGGATAAAACTGAACTGTTAGGAGTTGCGCTTTAGAGGAAGAAAATTGTATTTATCGCAAGTTTCAATGAATGAATGAAGTTATATGTATGCTCTATGGAAAATAGAGCAAAGTAGGTACGCCTTGTACCGGAAAATATAATATGCTGGAATGGTAATTAAGAGAAGAAACTACTAAACTATTTTGAATCAAGCAATTGAAACCAGTAATTTACATACATTTATAGAAATTGGTTGGATCACAATATATTGACGTACGTACGTGTTAGTACTATCGGCAAAATTCATGTATTCCCAGTGAACAGTTTTGTTTACTCTTTTTATGACCTAGCTCTTAATGCCATTTTTTTTAATAACGCACACTTTCATAGCCCGCACTAGGAAAACCCTGTATCGCGAGTGCCATGGACATACACATAGACAAACACAAATTACACCCAAACTCACGAGAGAAATAAACGTAGGCCACACCAATATTTCTCCCGGCCCGGGAATCGAACCCAGGACCTCTGCCTCCAGCGTGATAACCATTCGGCCATGGAGGTAGTAAACATTGGTTGACAAGAACGAGCAACCTGCGGGGTAACCGCACGCAAAAGGTATCCTTAAGGTGGCACGAGTTCACTTTGGTGACAGTATTTTAGATAATGTATATAGTACCTAAGCAGTGTCCAGTATGCAGATACGACTCGAGACTCCTCGTACAAATGAATATTCCAAGTATGCCCTTTCACTTACTGCCCCAGATTTCGTCACGAAGGTACTCTAAACGTTTTATATTGTATAGATAACTATGAATGTTGTACCTGTTTTCTCGTAGGTCTGTAAACGAAGTGTGAAGGTACGAAGCCATCTTGCGCCTGCCGTTTCTCCTTACTCTGCTCCGGTTCGGCTTCCTTTTCTTTCTCCTTAACTTCCGCAGCACATGCGCATAGTGAAACCGCTGCGAAATTAAAAATGTATTTCAGATGCGCTAGATCGCATATTTGCAGAATTTATTACACAAAAAGTACGTTTAGTTTGGGATTTCATTCGCATCGATGTTGCAAGACCGTTTCCATATTAAATGTGCTTTTAGATGAGTGTGTCTTAACCCTAAATCCGTTTAAAAATGTATAAGCGAAGCGTCCGACAGAATATTGCCTATAAGAAACTCCAAATGTATGTAGGTCGCCGCAGGCTGTAGTATAAATAATAATATATGTGCTTGTCCGTGGAATCCCAAAATTAGATTTTATTGTATTAGAACCGCTTGTTCCGGCAACTAGGTAATGGTTGTGTACATGAATATATTGGCATTTAGATACAACAAAAACAAAACCCCTCAAAACACACTATTTTACTTTTATCATCGCCTCAATGACTTAAAAAAGTAGTAGAATTAACACAACAAATGTCTTCAACATATAAAATGCTTCTAAAGATGTGATATAAGTCCCTTAAACTGCATAAGTTTCCTAAAGAAAACAAGGGACATTACAGGCACACACATTAGAACCGTGCCGATTGGTCACGGAGTAATAGTCGGACCCAGTCGTCCATTAACACCGATTCGCCTTTTCTCAAGCAAATTAGATGGCAATAGTACGCATGTAGGAGTGAAGTGTTCAGATACTCAATAGAAATAAAACAAAATAGAATCGGAATTATGGAGACAGGCCGTTTGTATGTGAAAACTTAAATGTTAATTAAACCGAAGAGGCATAAATCGGCTTATCTATAGATATTCATTCTAGAACACGTAAGTACAACGCATCGATCTCTTCGCTTGTCTTTCCCGTTAACTAACTTGGGTGTACGCCGGCCTTATTTTAGGGGATGTACACTTACAAGTCTGAGCTCTTTTGGGCGTCCTAGTCTCCACGTCTTAGTGCTCACTTCTTTCCTTTCTCAATCGTGACGATACGACATTAACCTCCCTAATACTACATAAATATCGTAGACGGTACCATAGACCAGTGGTCGGAGTAGTTAAAGCAATTTCGTATCAATGACCTCAAATATTAATTTAATATAGATGTGACATATGGCTCTGGTTTCCTGGATTTTGGAATAATGCTCGGTTTTGCCGGACCATTGCAAGAGAATGAAGTTCAATCACGCATTTTTTTAATGGAACAATGTGAATGACGGGAGTAAATAAATAAGTAGGTACTTGTCATTCACTTAAAAGTAAGTTTTATTTACACATGCGTTTCTTGCGGTGTTCGCTGTGTTATATTTGTGGAATTTTACTTTAGCTACTTTTTTTTGTTTGGTTTTATGGTATTTGAATCGTTGCGTTCTAACTGATGATATTTATATATAACATCATTCATTGTATGTGCGACGATTGTATGATGGACTTCTTATGTACGAATATTCAATATAACTAGAATGGTAGAGCGCGGTGAAGCCTTGTCTATGCACTGACAAACACACAGCAGTATAATATAAGTCTCGTATACCAAACCGGTGCGAAAAATAGCATTCAGAAATTTTGTAGCAGTTAGTGGAGCTCCTCGTAAAACAGTTCTTCCAGAGAAGTACTTTATCACCCATAAAAAAGTTTTATTGTCGTCGAACTACAAAATGATTTTTTGTTCTATGACAAAGCTTTTTAAGGTGAACTAACAATCACCTGTCAGCTCTCAGTCAACAAGTTTTTACTGAGTGTACTAGACTTACTTTTAAAGCCTCTTACTTTTAGTTTAGTAGCAATACTTATAAAAGGGTTCGTCCGGGGAAGTACTGCGACTTTACACATTTCTGCCGACAAATAGTAAAGTGTACTATTCTGCCGTCTACAAACTATAACGCAGCTAAGGAACAAATGGTCAAATAACCGTTTTAAATAGCAAAAGATAGAGCAAAAAATTCTTTTTTAAAAACAGTTGAAATTAGTTAACGCGTTCGACTTAACGGAACGACGCGTAGCTGAAATATCATTAAACAATTCCAATATTCTAAAATTGGGTTATGTTTTTTACGATATCTCAAAAAAATATTTTGTCACTTAACCGCGTTTTAGTTAAAGGACGGCAGTATTATTGCGTTCCGGTTTTGAAGGGTAAGGGTGTTGGTGAAATTACAGACACATGGGACTTGTCAACTTATGTCTCAATGCGAAGGGCGTAATGGTAGCGCCCCTCAGATCTCTGCGATTTAAAGCTCTCAGTGGCGTGTCGCTTATCACCACGCACGGAACAGGCACGACTTGTTCGTTCCGTCACTAGGTAAAGAAAAAAATCATTTTAATTCGTTATTTTGTTCAAGCGGTCGTGGAGAAGTCGGAACGACAAGCTACAACATGATCGATTAGTCAACGATTACCAGACAAGATAGTACTCAACGTGAAATAAAAATGAGAATTATTTAAAAATTGATTTATACATAAATATACAATTCAATCAACATGAATTAAAAAAGACACACTTTTTAATACACAATCTCGAAATATCTACCTATACAAATTATACAAATGAGAAATGTGCATTATACTATTAAATGTATAGTTTTAGTAGAAAATTACAAAGCGTCAGTGTGTGGATTATCTTTCGCCCACGAAAATATAACGGACTTTACTTGTGTTTTAATGGACAATCAAATGCGTATAATAAATCCACACAAACTTCGACCTAAAGATCCTCGCTTCTGTATTGTTAACGAGTCAAACAAATTCACAAATTCCAACGAGGTAACTGGAAAACCATTTAGTAATATCTGAGCAGGGATCGGAATTTACGCGTGTAGCTCTTAAATCTGGAGGCTCCCAAGAAGGCTCCTTAAATCGAGTCCAATGTCCTCACGCGTCCAAGGCCTTGCACTCTCACTTAAACTGACCAGTACTGACAGCAGAACAAAAGAAGCTACAGCAAAATAATTTTAGAACAGAAAATCTTATTGGTACATATTTATTTTTATTGAATATCATAATCACGACATTCAATAAAAATAAATATGTACAAGTACATAGTGATAACTGTGCTACCCCCTTATCGTAACTAAAGCAAACGACATTTTTGCGAAATTGAGTAATTTATAAATCTGGATCAGCAAAACGAGGTCTACAACACCTTAGGAGTGGTTTCTTGTATGTTATTTAGTTTTAATCTTATTATTAACCAAACTCAGCGTTAAACGACATTTTTACTGGAAAAAAAAACTTTCGTTTGCCAATACCTCCAAAGTTACCGTAATGCAAATACGTTAATTATAAGGAGGGCAGTGTGATATTTATCTATTTTTAGTGAAATATCCCACTAGCTTGTAATAATTATTAATACAAAGACCGAACAAAAACCAACAAAACCCCATCGATCCGACTTCACTCGAACCAGTGTCTGTTGCCTCGACGTGGCAAAAAACCTGGGTTAACACAATAGAAAAGTCCACATCACTCATAGAGAAATTTGTAAGATCTGCTGGCTCGATCCGTAGCTCAGGTTGATAAGAGCGGTAGCCACGTTGGGGCAACGAACACTGACTGGTTCGAGACCACTCCTATCGAAGGAATATTTATTTGTGTTTGTTCAATCTTTGTATAATAATAACAATCATGTTAGTTAAGTTTATATACTATAAATGAATTACATATTTAACATATTAGATAAGAGTTATCAATGTAATGGACTGTATGAACTTTTGTCTTTGGTATGAACTTAAGACCTTTGACAAATTGTAGTTATACGTTTTATTTTCACAAGTTCCACAATTAAATAATGCATGAAAACAATCGCAACAGCATAACAATAATAGAGTAACCAATTATGCAAAAAGAGCGCCAAAATCATTAATATATTTTCGTGATGTGTTCGACAACCACATTAATTACTTGTCTTTATGCTATAATATCAAGGTTTAGGTAACTAAAAGTAAACAAAGTTCAGCTGTCCCTTGATTAACCAGTCAAATACAATATTTAGTAGTGAGTTTCATACGTCGTATTACTGCTGTACTCTTTAATTTGGTCGCGTGTTATTAGCTAGCTATACGTTAAATCTGTTTAGAGGGTCCGTTTGTTGCAGGAAAGTTGATACACGTGTTAATAAATATCTTTATTTAAATATTATGTTTATATTATATATTGAGTACTATTTTAAACAGGTATTTCAAAATGTTGTCTATTACCTCAAAATATTATCATGCATTTAGAACCATTTTGCAATAAGTAAGTAACCAAGTAATCCCTCATTTAAAAATATCATTACGGTTTGTTTACATCTAGTAGTTTGTAGTTATCGGAAAGTCCCTGTACTTTGATTATTAAAAAATTCGGGGTTCTACCAAGAACACAGAGACCAAAAGTATGTTTACCAAACTCGTCCTACAGGAAATGGAACACGGAACCACGTCATCTAACGTCTATAGTATTAACCGCTTTGCCATTGAGGTCATAAACAAGTACATTTTGACTTTAGAATTTGTAACAAAAAGTGTAAAACTAATAAATTTTAGAACTTATTCAAATTTTTTTTTCCTCAAGTTCCCTCAACCAGTTCTCAGATCTGGAAACCATTACGAATTTTTATTGAACCGCGTAACAGTAGCGTTCATTATAAAATCATAATAAAAATTTAAAACTTCGGAAGTCTAAGTAGTTCGAAACAATCGAATAGCTGTAACAAAATTCGCATACACTTTCGTCGTTTCTCAGCAACGTAGATTGGTAGCAAATTGTTTTGTTGACGGTCCACTTTGACACGGCCTGGTTCCCACACTCAAGCATGCATAATGTCAACTGTAAGTAGTTTTAGTGGCTATGTAGAATAATAAACAGAGTATGTAACAAACATACTACGTTGAAGGCTAATGCTGATATATTTTAAGAATAAGATTGTCCAGCCCTATTTTTACTTTGCCTCTTTAGTGGTGAAGTGGTACTTGTGGTACCAGTTCATCCGTATCTAGAATTCAAAACTTAGAACGGAAGTAGAAATAGGTACGTGATTTATTTTATGCGGA